CATGGAAGGGGGTACACAAGGTGTGATCAAATTATATGGTGAATATTTAAATTTTAAACACTTATTGCACTAAAAATACATTGCCATCAATGCCCCTTAAAATACTATCCCATTTTTCTTGCCACTTCCTGGAACAGTTCTGGAAGTGTTCTTTCATGACTTCATGAGACATGATGTAAAAACACAGTGAATGTGGCTGCCAGGCGCCATCCAGTGGAAAGGCAGGCCCATAAAAACACTTTCAGGATTTTTATGAAGTCCACCTTATTCCCTGAATCTGGCACTCTGTGACTTCCGGAACATCTCCAAAGTCAAGATGACCGTGAAAGGTAAATGTTTTGAATCAATTCAGGACATCAAGACAGTAGTGACAGCTCGACTAAAGACAAAAAAGTGGACTTCCAGTGTTGTTTCAGAAAAGGATGATGTGATACACATGTTCAAAGAAAGGGGAGTATTTTGAGCTGGATTAATGGCAATGCGTCTTGTGCTGTAATAATTTTTTAATTTAGACATTCATCTTATTTTTTATCATACCTCATGGTATAGTTTTACTCTGAGCCCCATAGCCTAGAGCAAAGGCACATTTGCAAATGTATTCTTGATGTCAAGTCTACATCCTGTGACCCAGAAACATAGTTTCTGAATGTGACACTAGAACTCAAATTAACATGGTGCCATGTGGACCGTCCCAAACTACTAGGTCCAGTATCCCAGCAGACAAGACAGAGATCGACATTACTCAACATTATGAGGTTGTTACCAAACCAGACCTGTTTTGCTGGCTGCACAGGGTGAGTTTTGCAAGAAAACGAAAGGGTCTGTTCACAAAGTGGCCAAGGGTAGAGATGGGAAAAGACATGTCAAACCCACTTCCCAGGACAGAGTTAGGGGATATTCATGAGCTTAGGAGTGGAGAAAGGTCATTGGAGGCTGGGAAGTAATTAGCATTGTGTTCATGAATAATTAAATTTCATCAACTGTTACCATCTCAACCATGACATCAGAGAGAGGTGATGTGTATAACTCTCTAATTGGTGATTTTTAATGATCAAAAGAAAGTAATTAAGAGCAGGTGCACCAGGCGACATCTAGAAAAGCAAGGGACAGAGCTGGGTGTGGTGGCACACACCTGTAATCCCAGCACTCGGGAGGCTGAGGCAGGAGGATCGCTGGAAGTTCAAGGCCAGCCTGAACTGCAGAGCGAGAACCTGTCTCAAAAAGCCAAAAAAAAAAAAAAAAAAAAAAAAAAAAAAGATAGAGGGAGAGAGAGAAGCAAGGGATTAAGGGCAGTTGAAGTAGGTTAAGTGTACGGAGTTTATTCACATTTTTCCCATGGTTTCGATGCCTGAGATTTGCTGATATAAAAAAATACTTGGGGGGGGAGAATGAAACAAAAAAGAAGTGAAGATGGGGAAGTTGATTATGGTGTAAACAAACTTGGCTATAAATTGATAATTATAGAACCAAGGTAAAGAAGCTATGAGGGTTCATTATAAAATTCTATTTATACATTTTACAATTTTCAATAAAAAGTTGTGAGGTTTTTCAAAGTGTAAGACTAAGATTATTCAATTAGAAATCAAGTCGTGGTTATTCATCTGGTGTTGGATCCTGGTTTGCTCACCTAGTTTGTGAAGAAAACTTTCCACGTTCCAGGGTCCATCCCTAAAATAGGATCACCCCCAAATTAAGCCAGTAACATTTTCACCTGTAACATGATTCTTTAGTTTGACTTGGAGTGTCTAAAAAAAGACTAAACTAGGGCTGAATTTTTACACTTCTGCTGATAAGATACGACAAATCCCCATAAATGTGTAATAGTGGCTCTCAAATTCATTCTGAGCTTCCTTTTTCGGTGGGGGGGTTTCCGGTACTGGGAATCGAACTCACGACTTTGCGCTTGCCAGGCAGGTGCTATGCCGCTGAGCTAAATCCCCAGGCCCTCAAATTTATTCTGATCCTATTTGTAATTCAACCATCCTTGTGCTCGGAGATGTTTCTCATCATTCCTAATGCTGAGAAACTTTACAAAGATGTTAGGAATAACATCTTCAGATTTTGACCAGAATTCATCAATAGGAATAGTTATTTGATCCCTGATCTATCCTCTTGGAAAAAAAATTTTTTTTAATTTTTTTTTTTTCCCTCTCAAATTGGTGAGTAAAGAAGTTATAGTTTATAGCGCCACCTGCTGGTAACTCCTGAAATTCCTCGACCAAGAGTTCACAGGCTCTAAACCGATTTAAAATCTCCGCAGCTGGGGCTTGAGTACTAGCATTTTAAGCATGTTTTCAGGTTCTTTGAGGCTTAGGAGACAAATGCCTTTCTCAAACTTGCCTGATAAGAGTCACCTGGAAATGCTTATTTAAAATTCTTTTCCCCGAATCACACTCCAGGCTTATTACATCAGGATCTCCAAGAAAGGAGCCTGGGACTTTTAATTTGCAATATGAGTGCGAGCTGAGTCTCCAAAGATGAACATTTGGTAACTATTAAAGAACTGCATGGCATACTTAACTCTAGAGATTATCTACCAGGACAGCGAAGCGCAATTTCAGACCATTAGTAAATGTATCTGGAACATCTACATGTGGGGATTTGGCAATCCTACCACATCCAGGGGTCCCAGGGGCTTCTGCCCTGTCTACTTCTGTAGTTTTATGATCTACCCAAATGCTTGCCCTTAACCCTCATATAGCTTTGTCTCTAACACCAGTCAATGAATCTATGATGCCAGCTCCTGACAGGCAGAATTTCTCCTTCTGGTGACCATAGACACATGGTCATGTGTGCTAACATTTTAACCTTTGTTAAATTTTCATGCTACACCCCCTACCCCCACCACCTTCTCCACGGTAGACTAATCTTCTAGGTTTCAAATAGCCTTTGGAGTCACATTTGTGTACAATAGATTATGAGGCTCCAGCTTTGTGCAGTGGACAGAGGGTGAACTTGACCTGTTCTGCGATCTGCTTTGAATTTCTTCCAAGGCTCCTGCCTAGCACAGCTGCCTAAGCACGCACATGAGAAAGGGCTTTTGTCTTATCCCTATGGGAGAAAAACAAAAATAGTTCTCTACCCAGTGATGCTTGAGATAGAATGAGTTAAAGGAAATAAAACAAAGCCTTAAATAAAATATTGTGCATCGTGAATACACTAGAGGAAAAATAGAATACAAAATTTGCCGACATAAATAACCACCACAATCTTTTCCGTAGTCATCTTATGAGAGTAGAACCTGCCTCAGGGAAGTGTAGTTTTCCCCCATAATCATTTTTTTTTTTTTTTGTCTCTTTGAGACAGGGTCTTACTTTACATTTCAGGCTGGCCTTGAACTCACTTTGTAGCTCAGGCTGTTCTCGAACTCACAATGATCCTCCTGCCTCAGCCTCCCAAGTCCTGGGATTACAGGCATGCACCGCCACACCCAGCTCCCCCATAATCATTTCAGCGGCCTGTTATAAATTACAATCATCCTTTGGTATCTGTAGGGTTTTGGCTCCAGGATCCCCCACCCTGCCTGTGGATGCCCAAAATATAGGTGTTCAACTCCCTTCAATAAAGTGGCATAACATATCACTGGAACAGGAGGCTGGAACAGGAGGATCACTTGAGTCCAGGAGTTCAAGGCCAGCCTGCGCAACACAGTAAGGCTTCATCTCAAAAGAAATATAAATAAATAAATAAACAAATAAAATGGTATAGAATTTGTATATAAACTATTTACACCCTCCCATATATTTTAAATCACCTCACTATGATTAAAGATACCTCACACAACATAAATGCTGTGCGTGTAGTTGTTATGGTATATCGTTTAGGGAATAATGACAAAGAGAAAAATCTGTAAGTGTTCAGTACAGGCGCAGTTTTTAAAAGAATATTTCCCATCCACGGTTGATTGAATCTAGGATTCAGAACCAGCGGATGCAAAGGGCCAGCTGCGTGTCTTTGGTCGTGGGGCCCAGAAACAACACCTGTGTCAGGTGTGTTAATCTGGGTTGCCTGGATTGGAAAAAAAGATCCCCTCACAGTTCCTCGCCACGGGTTCCTTTTTTAAATTTTCTGTAGTGCTCGCAGTGGAACCCAGGGCTTCACATGTGCCCAGCATGTGTTCTAGCGCTGAGCTGCCCTCCTAGTGTATTGGTTCCTTTTCCAATAACTGAGAGTCCTGCTTGATTTAAAGAGGAAGGTTTTGCTGTGGCCCGTGGGTTTGGAAGTCTCAGGCTGCTGTCATTTGACCCTGTTGCTGTAGGCCAGAGACAAGGCTGAGCATCAGGGCAAGGGGTGAACGGTGCAGGTGCTCAGTTCGTGGTAGCCAAGAAGTGGAGAGAGTGCGAGAAAGAAGAGCAAGGGACTCACACTCCCGTGACCCACTCCTCTCAGTCAGGCCCACTTCCAAATTTTCACTTCTCCCCAATAAGGCCATCAAATTCATCCATGGATCAACCCACTGATGCACTAGGAGCCCTCGTGAAGCAATCACCCTTCAAAAGCCCACTTTTGAATATCTGAGCGTTTTGGGAGACATTTTAGATCCAAACCATAATATTCCATCCCAGCCCCCAAAGGCGTACGTCCCTCTCACTATGCACAATGCATTACTCCATTTCCAGAGTCCCCAAAGTCACAACAGTTTCAACATTACTCAAAAGTCCAAGCCAGAAGTCTCCTCTGAGACTCAAGGCAAATTCTTTCCCGGGCGGCCCTGTAAAAATAAAAAACAAAGTATCTGCAGTACTTCTACCCTATAATGGTGGGACAAGCATTGTGTAAATATTTCTATTACAAATAGCAGGAACAGTAGAACAGCAAGGATGAAACAGACCAAAGCAAGACTGAACTCCAGCAGAGAAAACACTAAATCCGGTAACTCCATGTGCAGCACATAGGGCATGTGGTGGTGAGATATAAGCTGCAAAGTGCTGGAGCAGCCCTGGCTCTATGGCTTCCCTGACTGACGCACTCTGCCTCACTCTTGGGCTTGTTCTACTCACGGCCTGTGGCTTTTCTCAGCAGACCTTCCATGTTCCTGGCATCTCTAACTTCCTAGCATCTCTAATGCAGCTTTGGCTTCACTGTTCCGACTTTATGCATCACGCTCTAAGAGGCTCCCCTCAGGGACTGTGGTCCTGTTATCCATTGTCTGGTCTCCCGGGACTTCCTTTGAAATCTTGGTAACAGCTTCCATGACCTCATAATGCTCTCCTTCTACACGCCTGCAAAAGCAGCTTCACACAAACACCAAAGTCTGCCACCCACTGGTGCAGCAGTAGATGGACTTAACTTGGGCCATGCTCTCAGTGGCTTCCGAGCATCTGGACAGCTGAGCATGGTGAAGTGATTCCTGAGGAAATGACTTCCTATGTAACCCTCTTCTCAGAGCAAAGTCTTTCAAGGGGGTTTAGACTCTGACTCCTTGAGCCTGCACTGGTGGGGTCTGGCCAATTCCTGGGAGGCTCTGAAGGTACATTTCCTATTGCTCCTGTGTAAAGTACTTGGCTTCTTTTTAATGACACTTATCTCTTCAGCAAACATGCCATCTTCGGCTCCAACTTTATACAGGGGTTTCATTTCCGGCCAAACTGTACTTTCCCCAAATCTTTCTCCTCTGATTTTTTGCTCCTGATTCTCATGGTAAATCTGGTTAAAAGCATCTAGCAATACTCATGCCACTGCCCGAATGCTATGTTGCCTTGAAATTTCCTTTGTCAGATGAATTAGTCCATCGCCTCTGAACTTACCCCTTCCCCCGGGGTCTCAGTTCATGAAAAAATGCAGACAAGCTTTTTGCCAGAATAAGAAGTTAACATGAATAACCTCTAGTCCCTTTCCAGTAGTCTTTCTGTCCATCTGAAACTACGTGAGCAGTCTCCTGTCCACATTCCTATCAGCATTCTAGTCTTCTGAGCTCACGATAGGATTGCCCATCAAGCTCTGTGTATATGAGCCCACCTCTCCAGAGAAAAGGTTTCTCTAGCCCCACTGCTTCAGGCTTCTCCAGATTTCTCCTATGAACCAGTTCCAAAGGCCTCTGAACCCCATGGTCAGGTACGGTCACGACAATGACCCCACTTCTCAGTACCACTTTTCTCTGAGTGAGCTCTCTGTCACTTTGATAAAACATTGAAGAATAACAATAAAGGGAAGGTTTATTTTGGCGCATGGTTCCAGGGCTTCTGGTGAAGTGGAAGGGTGTGGTAGAGGAAAATTGCTCACCTCAGGAGACAAGCAGACAGAGACAGCCAGGAAGGAAGAGGCCACGACTGGACACAGTCCCCGGAGCCGTGGTCCCATGACCTACTCGCTTCTCAATTTCTTCTCCTACTTCTCCTCAGTTTCCATTACTGCTCAGGAAGTCATCAAATTATGAATTCATCAATGCGTTAATCCACTGATGAAGTTAAGAGTCTGTACGACACAATCACCTTCCAAATTCCCTACCTGGATGCACGTTAGCTCTTAGGGGGACATTTCAGATCCACAGTATAACAGACTGGAAAACAAATTTTTCAACTAGGCAATTTGAAAACTACTCATTTAAATTATTACCCGATCTCGGGCATATAGTGTTAAGTGACCCAAGAACCTAAACAGTTGTATGATATCAGGAGGAAGCAAGCAAATCTTTTATAACTGTCTTCTGGTTCCCTGCCCAGTGACTTTCTATCTGCTGCAGCTGGGACCAAGCCTGGCGCCTGTTAGGAAATAGTTAAGGACTCGGGATTGGGTTTTATGCTGGTTGCTACTTTGCCCTGGCACTGAACGCCTGATGTCCAAGTCCCCGTTGAGGACCTCCCAGTCCCAGTCACTGGGCCTCTATCTAGCCTCTGATTTGTTTCTTTGCCAAGATTCTGTGAACAGGAATTTTCTACCCTTCATTCTGGTTGCAACGAGGCGTGTTCCCTGAGCACTATATATTTTGCCAATTGCCTGGTCCGGGCCCTATTGACAGAGGCCTGTCTGATTTCTGAGCCATTCTCAGCCCGATCTGCTCCCTGCCTGCACTTTTACTCCTACCCAGCAACCTATAATCTCTGTCAAATCCAGGCTTGGACTGTTTTAAAAATCTAAGTCCAGAAACATCTGTGCAGGTCAAAGGGCCTCCTACTCCCCAGACTCTGGATTTAGCGACCCACAGGGGATTTCTTTTTCCTTCTGTTTGTACCACTTCTGCCCTAGAGGCACCATGCTGTGTGGTGAGTCAAAAAAGTAACAGTGGCCCCAGAGCAGTGGTTTGTGAGTAGCTCTGCAAAGCCATAGGCTTCCACAGATTTCCTAAGACCAAGATGTTAACACTTGAGCGTGCTCTACAACACTCACCCCTACTCAGTGAATTTTTCACCTCACAGGCCTATCAGCCCCTTTGAGATTTTCATGAAAGCTGCAGATATGTGTCTCCATGTTGTAACAGTAGCCATGGAGGACTACTTAAATTAATCCAGTACAGTTCCTCGGTCACATCAGCTACACTGCAATTTCAAAGTTTTGAGTCTTAGACCTATGTGTTTGATCCACTTTGGATTGATTTTTTTTTTTTTTGGTCTTTTTGAGACAGAGTCTCGCTATGCAGTTCAGGATGGCCTTGAGCTCACTTTGTAGCCCAGTCTGGTCTCAAACTCACAACGCTCTTCCTTCCTCAGCCTCCCAGGTGCTGGGATTATAGGCATGTGCCACCAGGCCCAACTTGGATTGATTTTTGTACTGGGTGAGAGATAAGGACCTAACATTAATCTTCTACTGTAGATATTCAGCTTTTCCCGGAACCATTTGTTAAAGAGGCTATCTTTTCTTTTCTTTTCTTTTTGTCTTTTTCAGACAGGATCTCACTATGCAGTTCAGGCTGGCCTTGAACTCACTTTGTAGCCCAGGCCGGTCTTGAACTCAGAACAATCCTCCCAAGTGCTGGGATTACAGGCATGCGCCACCACACCCGGCTGAAGAGGCTATCTTTTCCAACATATGTTTTTGGCCTCTTCGTCAAGAATCAGATGTTTGTAGTTGTGTGGTTTGTTTTGATGTCTTCTATCCTATTCCACTGGTCTACTTTCCTGTTTTTGTGCCAGGAACATGCTGGTTTTGTTACTGTAGTTCTTCAGTTTATTTTGAAGTTAGGTATTGTGAAACCTCTCCCACCGCTCTCTCCACTCCAGCCCGCTTGGGCTATTTGTTGTCTTTCGTGCCTCAGCATGAATTTTAGAATTTTTTCTAGTTCTGTGAGACTATCATTGTTATTTTCATGTGAGTTTGATTGAATCTATAAGTCCTTTTTGATAATATGGCCAATAACAATATTAATTCTACCATGTCCACAATTTCTTCAGTGTTCTATAATCTTTATTGTAGGAGTCTTTCATCTTCTGATTAGCCTTATTCCTAGGTTTGGGGAGTTTTGTTATTGCTTTGTTTATTTGTTTTGGAGCTATGATGAGTGGAATTTTCATGATTTCTTTCTGAGCAGGTTCATTGGTTTTTGTATGTTGATTTCTTTTTTCTGGTACGTGGGATTGAACTCAGGGCCTTCACACTGAGTTACATCCCCTGCCATTTTTTTATTTTGAGACAATGTCTCTGAGTTACTAAATTGCCCAGGGAGACCTTGAACTTGTCCTCTTGCCTCAGCCTTCCAGAGTGCTGGGATTACAGGTATGCACACTATACCCAGCTTGTGTGTTGGTTTTATATCCTGATGCTCTGTTGAATTTGTCTATCAGACCTGAAAGTCTTCTGGTGGAGTTTCACATCTTCTAAGTAAAGGATTGTATTATCTTAAGATAGGGACAATTTGACTTCTTTTCTATTTGTATCTCTTTTATTTCTTTCTTTTGTCTAATTACTCTGGCTAAAAATTAATCTATTGAACCGGAGTGAGAAGAGCAGACAACCTTTTCTCGTTCTTGATTTTAAAAGAAGTGCTTTCAGTATTTTCTGCATTTCGTGTGATCTTAGCTGAGGGTTGGTCATACAAGGCCTTAATTATGTTGAGGTAAGACACTTCTATACCTAGTTTTTTCAGGGTTTTTCTCATAAAAGGGTATAGAATTTTGTAGAAGGGTTTTTCTGTGTCTTTTGAGATGATTAGATTTGCTTCATTGCTCGCTTCACCTGGGATTCTCTAATGCTTGCCATGGTTTTATCATGTTCTATGAAATTTGTCTGCTACACAATGGCTCTTTTCCTTCAAAGATTATACTTGGCTTAGATCTGAGTTGGGATGATATTCTGTCTTCTTCAAATATTCTGTGCAATCCTAAAATTAAACACTACCACCAAATGGCTTTACACACACACACACACACACACACACACACACACACGAAGCCATATCCTTTCTTTTTTTCAGTACTGGTGTTTGGAACCAGGGCCTTCACACTCAGCTGCAACCCCAAAGCTTTCCCTTTTGTTATTTTGAGACAGGACCTTGCTAAGTCATTAAGTTGCCCAGGCTGGGCTCAAACCTTCAGTCCTGCTGCCTTGTCCCCAAAGAATCCTGGGACTACAGCGCGCACCAGCACACGTGGCTACTTTCGTTGTTGTTGTTGTTGTTGTTTTGTTTTGTTGTTTTGTTTTGGAGCCAAAGGTTTGAACATCACCATACTTGCAAACCTCCCGAAGGAGCTGAATCTAAGTGAAATCAATCAGCTCCCGGCAAAGACGGATGTGTCTTTTCTTTCTCTCACATCACACAAAACGTAAACACAGATGCACTCTGGATTCACTCGGCCTCTCCAGCTCCCAAACGAGCTGCATTTTTTAACTAGAAGATTTGGGGGAAGGTCGAAAGACAAGAGCTTCACAGACTTGCATGACCTTCTAGCCCTTTTTCCAGATGTTCCCATAAGGCTGCAGCTGACGTCCCACCCCTACCACCTTTCCCCCCACCCCTCCTGTACAGAGGGGCTAACCCAGGGACATTCCACCGAGAGTTACATCCCTGTCCCCATTTTAAAGGTATTTTTAAAATTTTTGAGACAGGATCTTGCTAGGTTGCCCAGGCAGGATTTGAATTTACAGCCCTCCTGCCTCCATCTCCCTCAGTACTGGGGTTTTCTTCCTTTTTAAAAAAGGAGACAATTACACAACAGTATATGTCTATTAAAATGTAAGTACACTTATAAACATAACCACACTACCATTGCCACATCAAAAAGTAACAGTGATTTCATAATAGCAAATATTGAGACAGTGTTTTGACTTCCAATGGTTTCATAATGTCACATGTTTACTGATTTTTTAAAAAATCAAAGTCCAAATAAATCCCACACATTGCGATTGTTTAATGTCTTTCAGTTTCTCCTCATGCACTGGGGTCCTCTTCCATCCCTTTCTTTCCTAGCAATTTATTAATTAAAGAAACTCAATCATAAGGGGCCATAGTAGCACACACCTATAAATTCAGCACTCTGGGAGGCTGAGGCAGGAGGTTCCGAAATTCAAGCTCAAACTGTACAACTCATCATGGGAGACCAGATAGGAAAACAGAGGCCTAAGTGGCCTCCTCTGTGAGCACCAGGGAGAACAGCAGCGTACAAGTGTGCTGACACAGTGCAGGATCCAGGGGAAAGTTACTACAGTGAGCTCCTGTTGTTTACCTGGACCTGTACCATGGATGGCGGGAGGCAGAGTCATGCTCTCATTGGTCTTCCTGTGTCTGAGTGAGTAAAGGCAGGGTGAACCAGTCATTCAGGGCCCTCTGTTGAAGGGAGACAAAACCCCTCTGGCCGCCACATTTTAACCTAATTCTGTGTCTCCGTGCTTCTCACCCTGGTCATTCTTCAGTCAGGTACAAAGCTCGTAGGCTGGCTCCTACACTCAGCGACCCTGTCTCAAAATTAAAAGGCAGGGAAGAGCCGGGGATGTAGCAAGAGCCCTGGGTTTAGTCCCTAGAACCACCAAGAAAAGAAAAGGAAAAAAAAAAAAAAAAGAGAAGAAAAAAAAAAAAAAAAAGAGAAAACTCAATTGTTTGTCCAGGACTTTTCCCATAACTGGGTATGGCAGCGTATATGGGGTGCAGGTCACACCATTCTGAAATTTGGTTGTAGGCATGCTGAGCTCTACACTTACGTCATCAAGTAATTTGAATGTATTAATATTAATCCTATTTGCTCTTTTTTCTGAAGGAAATCTCCAGATAATTCCCCAAATAGCTCCTCCACTCATTAAGTGCCCTCTCTATTGGACATTCCCAGTTACTTAACTTTTAAAGGACGTTCACAGGCAAAGAAAAACGTTCTCGAAGGCCATTTCCGCTAGATAACCACTAGAGGGCAACATTGTCTTTATTATAGTTCTAATCTAAAGTGCATCAAATTTGTTTTTATGTTTTTGACAAATCGAACCTCATTATCTAATTTGACTTCTAATCTCACTTCTTATAAGATGTGACTGTGTTTTGTGTTAACCGAATGCTGGGTCTTTCACATCACTTCTATTCTTGATTCCATTCCCAATTCTAACCATCAGGCGGCAACACTGCCTAAAGACCAGAAGCAGAAAGGAAAAATTAAGTCAAACTGCCAAAGAAAAAGCAGCTTCACGGGCGAGGGGATTGACTATTAATTTAAGAAGGAAAGAAACAAACCAGTCCTTTTTTTCAGTTCGTATCCAACTCACGGCCCAAGGTCAGGGCTGTGTAAAACACACCACAAAGGAGCCTTTCAGGAGTGGGAGAGGCCGCCCCGGGGGACGCGCGCACAATCCCCGCCTTGATTCCGGGGGCACGCTCGTGCACGCGCGTGTGAATGGGAACGGGGCAGCAGCGGGACCTGCGTGGGCCGGGCGAGGGTCGGGAGAAGAACCAAGGGCTTCCTGGAGCACCGCTTCCGGACGCGCGATCCAACACCAGGTTGCCCACAGCGCCTTTGGAGATCAGCCACTCGCTTTGCCCCGGAGGAAACCGAGGCCCAAGGGGGCGGGCGGCCCGCGCTCCAGAGCCCCGCACCTGCCTGCGGCCGGGTGTTCGAGCGGAGCCACTGCTTCCCCCTTGGACAGAAAGGATCCGCCTGGCAGCAGGTGACACTACGGCGCAGCGATGACAGCTAAGCCAGGGTCCTCTGCAGACTCTGACAAGTGAGGATGCCCCTCCTCCCTCCAAAGCGCTGCTCCAGAAAGCGGGGGGTGACGCTGCGAGGGTGGCGGTAGTCGGGGATCACAGGCTCCCCAGAGCGCTCGGTTTATCCGAAGCCAGGTTAGGGACAAATTCTGCTCGGTTTGGAGCCCGGGGCCACAGACGTGAAGAAAACCCGACGGGCTGGGGAGACGCAGGAGCCCTCTCCTCCCTCCAGCGCAGCCGTCGTTTCCTCTCGGCAAACGGGAGGGGCTGGGCGGACAGTGGAGGTAAAAGTTGGGCGCCGGGCTTGCGTCCCCTCCCCGAAGTCCGGTCCCACCTCACCCCCGCGTCTGCAGAGGGCTTTGCAAACAACCCCAGCCTTGACGGCTGGAAGGCGGACAGCTCACTGTGCCTTTTCCTTTTCGTTTTTCTTTCAGTCATCAGCTCCGTAGCCCCGCGCTCCGACCCCTCCTTTCCCGGACTCTGCTCCCGGCTCCCCGCTCCCCGCTCCCCGCTCCCTGCCAGCCGCGCGCCCGCTCGCCCCCCTACTCCACTGGGTCCCAGCCGCTCCCCCACCCTCGGCCTTCAGCCCCGCCTCCGCCGCCAGCGGGTTCCACCCCAGACGACGTGAAATCTACATAGTGCCCGCCCCTCTTAGAGATCATTGGTGCAGCAATGCCAGTCGCGGTCAGTAATTGGTGAGCCGCCCGGGGTTATTTGCATGCGGGCGGCTGCAGGGAACCCAGCTGTGCGGGCGGCCGGCGCCGCGCAGAAGTTTGCAGAGCGTTTTCTCGCCGGCTGGTCCCGGACTCGCGCGGCGCTGCTCTCCGCTCCGCGCCGCCGCCGCCCTCCTTCCCCCTCTTTCTCCCTCCTTCTCGCTCCTTCTCCTCTTGCCGCCGCCGCGTTGTCTCAGGAGTCCTTCTCTGGGAAGGACGGACGCTTTGGGTGAGGGACGCGGAGGAGACGAGGGGCAGCGCTGAAGAGGAGCGGCGCGGAGCCGACCCGCGGACAGCTCTCGTCCGGACGCCGCCGCGCGGGGCCCGGCTCGCCCGAGTCTCGCCCAGCTTCCCGCGGCCGCCGGGCGGGCGATGCGGCCGCCGAGCCCCGCGGCGCAGAGAGGACGGAGGGCGCCGCGGAGAGCCTAGAGCGCGCTCGGCGGAGGGCGCATGGAGTGGTGAGCGCCCCTTGCTCGGCGAGGCCGCCCGCGGCAGGCTCCCCATGGCCGGGACGTACAGCTCCACCCTGAAGACTCTGGAGGACTTGACCTTGGACTCCGGGTATGGGGCCGGGGACTCGTGCCGTTCGCTCAGCCTCTCGTCCTCCAAGTCCAACTCGCAGGCGCTCAACTCTTCGGCGCAGCAGCACCGCGGGGCGGCCTGGTGGTGCTACTCCGGCTCCATGAACAGCCGTCACAACAGCTGGGACACGGTGAACACGGTGCTGCCCGAGGACCCCGAAGTGGCCGACCTCTTCTCGCGCTGCCCGCGGCTCCCGGAGCTGGAGGAGTTCCCCTGGACCGAGGGGGATGTGGCGCGGGTGCTGCGCAAAGGCGCAGGCTCGCGGCGGCTGCCCGCGTTCTCGGTGGAGGCGGTGCGGCGCCTGGCGGGGCTGCTGCGCAGGGCGCTCATCCGCGTGGCCCGCGAGGCGCAGCGCCTGAGCGTGCTGCACGCCAAGTGCACCCGCTTCGAGGTGCAGAGCGCCGTGCGCCTGGTGCACAGCTGGGCGCTGGCCGAGAGCTGCGCGCTGGCGGCGGTCAAGGCGCTGTCGCTGTACAGCATGAGCGCGGGCGACGGGCTGCGCCGGGGCAAGTCCGCGCGCTGCGGCCTCACCTTCTCCGTGGGCCGCTTCTTCCGCTGGATGGTGGACACCCGAATCTCCGTGCGCATCCACGAGTACGCGGCCATCTCGCTCACCGCCTGCATGGAGAATCTGGTGGAGGAGATCAGGGCCAGAGTTCTGGCCAGCCAGAGCCCCGACGGCGGCGGGGCGGGAGGCGGGGAAGTGTCCGCGGAGGCCTTGGAGATGGTCATCAACAACGACGCCGAGCTCTGGGGCGTCTTGCAGCCCTATGAGCACCTCATCTGCGGCAAGAATGCCAATGGTAAGTGCGCCAGCCTTGACCCACGGACGTGGCGTCAGTCCGTTTCCTCTAACTAACATGCTCTGTGTGCCAGGACCCCGCGTTTGGTCTGAGGGATTGTTTGGGATGCCAGACTTTTGGAGGATAAAATTGGGGTCGATCTTCTCTTCTGGTTCCGCATACTATTATGGTTTGACTTTTTTTTTTTTTTTGGTACCAGGACTCGAACTCAGGACCTTGCACTTGCCAGGCAGGTGCTTATGCCACTGAGCTATATCCCCGGCCCACTATTGTGACTTTTGGGGGGCCATTCACTGATTGGGTGATATTCAGGCTTTGGACCAAACCCTTCCTGAACCTCTCAAAGCGAGGCTTACTCTCTGCTGCTCTTTGCCTTGGTTGCTTAAGTCTAGTGGTGTGATTTTTCCCCCGACTGAAGTTCTGTCCCCGGAGTTCACCGCAATAGCAGCAGCAGCCTCAGGGGTCTATCCCCCAAGACCTGAGCCTTGGAGAAGTGGGCTGGGCAAGGAGAGCGACAAGTCAGGGACATGGGCTGAGTCTTGGCTTAGCTGGGTGGAAGGATATCCAGAGTGAGGTCCTCTCGTGGAGGATGGAGGGCGAGTGGTGGGTTCTTAACTGCGTGTCCAGGGGTGATGGACTGATGACTCCTGAAGCCCCATCACAGAAAAGGGAACCAACCACTTGCAGGCTCCCAGGGCTTGATTTTCCAATTTGTCATTAACCAAATGAGCGATGGATTTAAACCCTTTGCTGAATTAAATGAACAACCCCTGTGGCTTTCGCAGAAGGAAGGGGTGATCCACTCAGTCAACTGTGTTATGAGGAAGGGGTGGGCAGCTGCGTGATGTCTGCTCTGGGGAAGGAACAATTCTCACTTCTCTGAAAGATGTTGCTTCAGCGCAGAGGACCAAGGCAAAATACTCGGCCTTCTCCCTGATAAGGTTAGGGTGTGCCAGGCATTCAGCAACAGCCTGCCCATCAGACTCCAATTTCAGGGGCTGGGACATGAATTATTTAGAGTAGACTATGGGTAGGCATCCTCGCAATCTAATTGAAAGGGCCACGCGGATATAGTTTTTAGGGACAGATGCGTGGGCAGTGGAAGAGGCCAGGTGGTCCTAGAAGGGATAAAGGGCACCAAATTCAAACATGGTCTGGCAAAATCATAAAAGCTGAAAATTAAAGTAACACCTCATGTGTTAGTCACTGTTTGGGGCATGCTGTATGTTAGCAACCCATTAGGTAGTGTGATATTGTGAAATACTGTATGTGTATTTGGTCTTGTCCCCATTTCTTGGTGTACAACTCCTAAAATCATTGGAATCTCCAGAGAGGTAGCGTCTTTGTCTTCTAAGGAGTTGACTAATAGCAGGCCACCTCTAGGTAGCTTCAGGATGGGGACTGGTCATCGGAAAGAACAAGGCAGGACTGTAGAGGACTGGAACTTTCAGCCCCAGCGGGGCTGAAAACCTCCCCGGAGGGGAGAGAGTGGCACAACATTAAGTCGTGCATATGTAATGAAGTCTCCACTTAAGAAAAGGACCGGGCTCGGAGTGTTTCTGCACACCTGAGCAAATGGGGGTCCCTGTGCTATACATTTTTTATTTGTATCCTTTGTAACAGCCGTAATCACAAGCTGGTAAACATGATCCCCTGAGTTCTGTGAGCCATACAAGCAAATTAAACCAGAGGAGGCGATTGTGGGAACTCTCCTTTAGAGCCGGTTGGTCAGAAGTACAGGTAAAACAACCTGATGCTTGTGATGCTGTCCGGGGAAGGGAACAGTCTTGAGGCCAGAGCCTTCAGCCTGCAGACGTGCTGGCATCTCTCCAGGTAGATGGTGTCGGAGTTTAATTGAGTTGAGTTAGAGGACACGCAGCTCTGTCTGCTGCAGAATTGCTTGCTTGCTCGTGGGGAGAAAGCCCCACACAGAAGTCTTCTGTGTTGACTGTGGAGTGAGAACAGGAAAATTGTTTTCTTGTTCTATGAGGTACGTACCTGTAGTGTTCTGTCCATTATATAGGAAGGGAAGCAGTGTGCCCAGCAGTTCAGCTGCCAAAGACTACACAGGAATTAAGTGACAAAACTGGAATCTGAGCTCCAGAGAGTTCAAGTTTTGTCTGAGTAGTCCAGCTTCCAAGGAGAGCCAATGACACGCTCAGTCTCATTTTGAAGACACTGCACTAGCCCCGTGTGGCTAACTTGGCCACCCCTTGCTTTGGTTTTCAACTTCTGGCACTGTCAGAGGACATGCCTGCAGTGGAAGAGCATTTGCCTTTTAATTTTCCTCCTCTTAGGTCAGACTTGAGGTCAGGCCGGAAATCTAGTCAATGATGTCACAGCTGATAATTGTGCTTCGCCCTCCAAGTGCAGAGCTTCAGCACTGGGAACACCAACCAGCTCCAGGAGAGGAAGGAGGGGCAGAGGGATTTCCAGCTGCTTGTCATGATAGGAGGCCTGGCCTGAATTTAAAGAAGGGCAAGGCTTCTAGGAGAAAAGACTGAAGCCCTGACCCTAGAAACGAGGCTAGCATAAAGGTGGACAGCGAGGACAAAGCCAGGCAAAACGATGCCTTTCATGCACAGCCCGTGTCCAGCAGGTTGAGGAACTTTTTCTAAATACAAGTTGAGGTTAGGAAGAGCAGCTGACGTCCAGAGTACCCTAAAAAGGCACGATGGCCAGACACTGCTGGAAAACAAGAGTCTTCATCTGCAACCAAAGAGAATTTACTATCAAGGATCAGCATTCCTGGAGATTTTCTTTACGGGTCGATTTTTGATTCCATGATTTGGCCTCTTTGCCTGCCTCCTACCATTTGTTTTGTTTTTGTTTTTTGTTGCTGTCATTGTTTTTGCAACACTGGACCTTCCAATGGGCTACCCCCCCAAAAAAAGAAATTTTTTTTATTTTTTATCTTGAGATAGTCTGGCTAAGTCATTGAGTTGCCCGGGTGGACTCAAACTTGTGATTCTCCTGCCTCAGCCTCCCAGAGGGCTGAGTTTAGAGGCCTGCAGCATCAGGCCAGGCTGTAACAGTTCTTAAGCCGTGTAAGTAAAGGTAGTGAGTCTCCCTATGCAACAGAGAGCAATACCCCCTGGATCCTCAGGGCTAGTATCTCCCTCGCTACCTTCTCTAGGCTGCAGGGACCTTCTTAGAGGCCAGATGACCATTTGTTTCCACTTAGCAGCATGGATGTCCATTTCTTATACATGCAAACCAGGGGGTGGCCTCACTAAACAACAACCGGGCTGATTTATTAAGTCCCTTTAGACAAAGTGAAATGAATATTTAGTAGAAAGCCAATGAATCACATATGCCTGAGAGCTGACTTCAGAGGGAAACATAAACTACTTAGAAATGGAGAGATCCCAAACCTTTGTTATATTAAAATTACCCCAAGGGCAGCAAGGCTGCAGTTTATACAGCTGAAGACCAACTGAGGAACAGCTGCATATGGGAGAAAGAGTGTGGTTAGTATTCTTGCCCTGCTGGTCTTCCCTTTAAATTATATATTTATCATTGTTATGCCTGCTAATTGTACAGCATGAGCACATGCATTTGACTCAGCTGTATAGAGCTCTTAAACTTTTAATGTCCTCCAACCAGGAATTTAAGAGCCCTAATCCATCTATCCTTATCCATTACTCAGAATGCCAGACAAATATGGTTTTTCTCAGCCCAAGACAGATGATAAAAGTTCTCGAGTGTTTATAAGACATCCCAGATCCGCAGAGCAGCAGAAGTTATGTGTGGTTGCTCACTTGTTATTGAGACCTGGGATCCCAGGGCAATGTCATTAAGCGATGATATCTGTGTGATTTCCTTATGCAAGGCAGAGAAACCACTTTAATAGAGTAGTATCTATAAACAGGGAGCTGGCAGAAAATAGAAACCTCTCCCTTCCACAGCCTCTCTCTGTCCTTCTGTCTTTGTCAAGGAACTCACTACCTGAGAGCAGCATGCAGGGTGTCCCTTCTGAATTTCTTTCTGACCATTTTTCTTAATAAGCTTTTGTGAGTGACTGTGAAATTTGAGAAAATCCTCTTCCATTTCCAGAGTTTCAGTGAAATGATAGGATAGTGGTGAGAATGTTCTTATTCCAAAGCAGGGTTCAGGGTGTCCCTAAGGGATCGTCTAGCGAAGTGGTGAAGAGCACGGACGCTGAACTCACCAGGAGGGTTTGAAGCCCACCTTTGCTGTTTATGTGAGTGACCCAGGGCCAATTTCATAAGCATTCCAAGCCTCAGTTTTGTTATCTATAAAATGGGTGATAACAATACCTAGCTCAGACAGTTGGTATGAGGGTTGAGATCATAGATTTAAAGATCTTAGCTCGCAGTAAATGTTCAAAAAGAGTAGCAATTCATTCAGCAAATATTCAGCACTGACCTGGTCCCCACCATTGTTAAATGTGCCACTGTGGATTAAGTGGTGAAGGGAGGTAGGAAGACCTCTCCTAAAATTTATAATCGAGTGAAGAAGACAGGAAAACATAAATGATTTACCATTTGTCATTTTTTAGTTTTGTTTTGTTTTGAGGACAGAGTAGTAGGACAGTGTGACTGCAGCTAATTTAAATGTCAAGGAAGATCTCTCTGAAGTCTGATTAGTATCAGCCTGTAATATCAATACTAGCAAAGCACCTTTTGGCCATGAATAGTAATTGAGGACTTTCCTAAATTCACTTATTTACCAGTTGAGGCAAGTCTGGGCATCTCATCTGCGGCCAAGAAATAAAAAGGCTGCATCGGAAGCAGAGATAAAAACTATTCTGGCTATAGGACTCATTTATGGAGGAGACCGTAGGATGGATTTCCACTGACGTACGTAATGAGCAGAAGGAGCAAGGGTTAATTGAGCCGTGAGTTGCTGTTTAATCAGTTTTCACACCTGGGTAGTCTGAGGGAGGCACGCAGCTCCCCTTTTCTTTGGCCATTTTATTGAAGCCAAGGGACCTGGTAAAACTGAAACAAAGCAAGCTTTGGAAATGAAAACTTTTT